TTTTTTTTTTTTTTTTTTTTTTTGTTACCAATGTTTTTCTTAATTGGGTAGCACATTCTACGAACTGCTATCGCCTTCTTTTTTTTCATATGTTTGGGGCTCATTTTTTCCAGGTATGGGTCACTTGAGTTCTAAAATCTTCATATTAATTTGCAGAATCTAAAACTTCGTTAAGTGCGGGATACATTTGGTTATTTGTCATTTTTATACTGATTGCCCTAGTAGTATGTTGGTTTGCTTATGCCTATTTTCATCCACAAACAGCTTCTGGACAATTTTTAATCAAGGTTTAATTCTTTTACTTTTTTCGACAGGAATTTTGTGTAATTATTTTAAAATTATTATTTTTCTAAATTTTAAAACTGTATTGTTCTTCACAATTTATTACTTTATTTGCTTACTTGAAACCTCCTTGGTTGGTAAGTTTTGAAGGAATGGTATTTCAGTATCGTCTTTCTCAGTGGAGGATGCCTTCAAGCCACGTTCGCTATAGTGCGTCTGTGCACATGTAATATGGATGTTAATGGCTCGTGTGATGTGTGAGCTATCTCAGAACATTCATTCGTTGTTATGAAGCTTTTACTGCTAAGGATTTTGGTACTTTCGTTTTGGGATTCTTAAGTGTTACTGTTTTTTACACTCTGGTGAGCCAGATTTATAACATAATTTCCTTCATTTACACTTGCGGGTCGTGGAACACGCGTTGTTGTATGACTGGTTTTTTTCTTGCTTTTTTTGTAAGTTCAACTTCCTTTCAATGGAAAATTGTTTCGAGGCTGTACTTTTTGTACTGCATCTTGAACAGACTTAGAGTGTTGGTTATTGTTCCATCTGAATTCGTTCACTTTGATTGGGGGGGACGGAGAAAGGGGAAGTAAATTCTGATTTTGTTCATGTACTTAGAGCTTTTATCTGAGCACTTTTTAGATGCCAAGTTTCGTTAATCTGTTGTCTGGTGTTAATGAGTAGTTGTTCTACTTACCACTGACTATGCTTCTTTTTGTGTTTTAAGTTGAACTTGGATTGTGGTGCATAATTTCTATTTAGTGAAGCCAGGTATGTTGTGCCATACCTTCTGCTAGATATCAGAAACACTGGCAATTAGTTTCTTTATTGGTTCGCAATCTCATCTGATGATCTTATTTTTTGTTTTGAATGGATTAAGCTGTAATCAGATGATTAACTTTTAGTCTCGAGAATTGTTGAACAACTGATACTTTTAATTATTTGAATATGTTGATGTTTCAGTATTTGTGATACTGTATACTGTTTACTTTCACCACTGTGCTACCTGTGAATGATTTTTTTTTTTTTTTTTTTTGCCTTACTGCATAACATTTTCATTACTGATTCTTTTTATGAGATTTATCTGGTTTTTTTTATGGGTTAAGAAGTTGATGAAAGTTGCTTGGTTTAGAGGCCCCAGTGACTACATTGTTACCAGTTTCGTGCGTTGTTGTTAGGAGAAATCATGAAGCAGTTAGTTTGGTTATTCTTCAGTCGCAGTTTGTGAGTCCTCTTTTGAATAGATAGTGTTTGGCCAAAGATATTTCTTGAAAATTGTTTTTCTGTCAAAATTTCTGCGTTTATTGTAATTCGTGACGAATTTGTTTTAACTTATTTTTCTTTCATGATTTGTTTATTTATTTTTATTTTTATTTTTTTATTTTTTTTTGAAATAACCTATGATCGGGTACTGTATCGTATTCACTCATCAGTGCGATATCTCATAGAATAAATGTTTATAAACTAGTTTAAGGTTTTTCACAGGACACAACATTGGTCATCAATTAAGAGTTTAAAGATTCTGGCATTATACAAACTTTTCAATTTTATACTGGTTGGTTTATGTTGTCTGGTCGGCACCTGTTTGGCGGAGAGTTTTGAAATTTTGAGGTTTCTTCGTGGCGGAGGTGTTGCTGGGATTGATAGGGCTTGAACTTGGGCGGCTAAATATGGGCAATTTTAGGTCTGGATTCTTGAAGCGGTTTATAACAATAGGGTTTTATGATGTTAGTACAGTTGTATTGGGACCATTCGATAGTAAAAAGTTATTCTATTTCAAGAGTCCTGACCTGTCACCTACTGCCAAGTAGTATTCAGCTTAAATATGCTGTAGAGAACTGCGCAATACATCTTGTTGTGTAACGCAGGCGAGTATGATAGTATTAGGTGAAGAGAGGGCTAAGCGAGGTTGTTGCCGTTGGTTTAAAATACGGCAAATGTTATAGGTTAGTTAACAGTCGGGCAGATGGGCAGTAAGGACTTGATAAATTTTGGACAGTAAGGACTTCTTAATAAGTAATTTTGATAAATGTTAGGCTAATATAAGTTCAAATAGCCGCTGGTTAACGGTTGTCTGCTATTCAACTATTGAATTTAAAGGATCAATCTGCAGTCAAGTTAAACCATAACTTGGCCACTAGCACAGATATAAGGTTGAAGATTAAGGTTTATGCTTCATAACTGTTTAGGGCTATGCATTACATTGATCGCTATAGTCACGAAAAATTTGCCGGCAGATTGCTGTTGTGTGGAAAAAACCAATACAGAATACTTCAGGAATATTGAATGATCTTTTAAACTTACAATCAAACGGCAAACAAAAAAATAAGTGCTAAATAGCAAACAAAAATTTCGGTTCTTTCTGTCTGTCTTTTC